ATTTAGACCTCTTCACATTTAGAATATTACTCCTACATCTTATGACATTTGTGCACGTATAACACGTAACTCATTTTCATTGATATCTATTAATATAACCGTTAAAAAATATAATATTATCCTAATAAAAAATTATAATTTCATATTTCCCNAATTTTCCAAACTATCATTGAAAAACATGTTTAGGGTACATTTTTACACTCTATTTGTATTTGTATCAGGGATAATTCAAATACATTAAACTGCTTGTATCACTGCAACAAAGGTAACCCAGAAACATGATCATTTTGAGCTCAAGTTCCCAATCTCACCAACTTGTCAACTTACCTAATACAGACGAACTATAAGCCCGTGTCCAGCACCAATGGACTCAGCTTGCAACAGTAAGACAAACATACGAAATCACTCATAGACGCATAGTCAAAGAAACATATGTTATACCTTCCCAATTCAGAAAGATAGCTTCAGGCCTATGATTCAAACCCAAAAATTACATCAACTATTCTCTATTTATTTATGTGAGCGTGTGTGTGTGTGCTCGCGTGTGTTTTTTTTTTTTGGGGGTGCGTGAGCAAAACAGATAATGTGTAACCATATTGCCCTATAGATATATATATCCGAGCATACATATTCAGTACATAGGTAAGGATAGTTTAGGCAAAAAGGGCTAAACAAAATTCATAATTGGAAGGGCCTCATTTTGTTACATTCCCTCTTGTTTCAAGTTCAGCAACTTTGCCCTTTGCCCTAGACTATTTCGATGATGCTTAAAAATTACAAGTTNTCATTTTGTTACATTCCCTCTTGTTTCAAGTTCAGCAACTTTGCCCTTTGCCCTAGACTATTTTGATGCTTAAAAATTACAAGTTAAGACGGGTAAAAAAATAAAAAACGTTAATCTACAACTGGCTGCAGAAATTTAGAATGCCATCTGCAGAAGAATAACCTCCAGGTAGAAGGATATGAGAGGAGCTTTTATTTCTCATGAACAAGAGGGCCGTAAACAGGATACCACATGTTGTGCACGACATATTGCACAGTCTCTTCCTGCATCCAACGAAAGAAAGCAATAGACAGCATACATTATTAGAATTTCAGAATATGCATTTTACCTTTTTGAATCGAGTCTATAGCTTTCCCTTTGTAATAATTGTTGTGTTTTAAGATTAGGTGTAACATTATTTTCATCATTTTACCCTAAAACATAGTATTTTTCATCCAAGATGTATTCCATGGTCATTTTGCATTTTTCTTGGGAAGTAAGGTTGAAATTGGTTCATACTTTTGACATTTGTGCAAGCTCCCTTGCCCCCACATCACCATGCCCTTCTGCCAGTTCTTCAGCAACAGCTGTTCGTATTACTGCAGCCCCAACCTCTGCTGTGATATCTCTGATACTGCAACCATACACAATAAGATCAATTCAGACTAGGTGATACCATTAACGAATGACACTTTTATCAGATGTCCCTAAAATGATGAATCTCTTTCAGCATCCATAAATCAAGCAGCGAAACTGTCAATGCATCCTCTACTGCTTCAAGTAAACCTGGTTAGGGCATATAACAGTTTGACAAGCCCATAAAAGCAGATACTGGGTAACGAGTTCTAAGGTATACCCTAATTACAAATAAGTATAGTTAGGAGTAAATAAATTGAATATTTCTTACTTACTGAAAAAAAAAAATTGAATATTTCTCTTACACACACTGAGCAATTCATGACCAGATCCAGGCCTTTAGTCTTTGTGGACATGAAAGTCGTACAAGGACGCAGGAGTAATATTTTGGAAATTCTCACATAAAATTTACGGATATGAGACAAATTTATTGGGACACCCGTGCTGAGATGCACGCTTCTTAACTTTGTACCCAACAACCATGCTGAGACAGTTTATTAGGCTACTATCATATGGTTGAAATGAACGCTTGAAATAATGGGATGCACATCACCAACTAGAAATTAAAAATACTGCAGGCTATATCAATTTCAGTCTTAAGACTTAAGAGGACTCGAATGATATCGCAACAAAAACAACATTTCCAGGTAGCTGAAAATGTTACCTATTAATAGAAGGATACAAAATGCCCATTTGAATTTCTTCATCTGTCATATATGTAGCCAGGCTGCATGGATAAAACAAAATCAGCATATCAGGCCAACAATAGGCTTAGTGCCACACCAATGTCCGTCCCCCCCCTCCCCCCCCCGCTAGTAAAACATATAATCTTTTTATCAATAATGAAAATGTAAACTAAATAGCTTAAGAGAAGATCTAGTAATAATCCATTTTATCTAGACATCAGTTCCACCACAATTAAGGGGTAATTCACCTTATTATTTGTAAAAAGAAAGCTATGAAGCACACTATCCTACCATGTCCACAAGTAAAAGCAACAAGAAAAGCTTCAACTATNGAAGATCTAGTAATAATCCATTTTATCTAGACATCAGTTCCACCACAATTAAGGGGTAATTCACCTTATTATTTGCAAAAAGAAAGCTATGAAGTACACTATCCTACCATGTCCACAAGTAAAAGCAACAAGAAAAGCTTCAACTACAAGGAAAAACCAAGTTCATCACCAATAAACTCAGAAGACTGCACTTGCAACATTGAATTACACGGATTGTTGGTCATTCTCATCTAGAAACTCTCTCTCTCTCTCTCTAGGTCTGGATCATCTGGAAATTCACAAGCTAAAAAATTAAGAAAAGACAAAGGCAATAATCATAGAGAGATAACTCAGAGATACATTCACTTCTGCTTCCCTGTCTTTCCCATTATTTAAAAACGCAAGGAAAAAAAGGAAAGTTATTGTTATTCCAATCCAAACCAATTGGAAATAAGTCAGGAGATCCCTCAACCATATAACCAATCTTGGGTGGCCCTAATCTTTCGATGGAGGGTATAAGCGCTCTTTATACCCTCTCTAACATAGTATCTGGTCTCCCACATGGACTAACTACAAAGCAACATACATAGTCAGAAACTCAAGCGGGTGAGAAACTTGGCCCACTTAGTATTAAAAGCCCATATCAGATACCATGTTAAAGAATCCAATCCAAAACCAAATGTCAATGAGTGAAGAGACCCCTCGACCATAAAATCAAACTTGGGTGGCCTTCACTTTTCAATGTAGGGTACAACTCTCTTTGCAATCTTATAGAAAAGAAAAGGAAAAAAAAGCTCTCCTTACAGTTGTAGTGTAAAATATGTTAGGTTTATCACTGAAGCCATGCAGACATGCACACAAACAAGCTTTGCCTCTTTGCGTTGCATGTCACAAAAATGGGGAAAAAGCACTAGCACTACAGCAACTACCGCATTCCATGAGGAAAAGACCTGTGGACTTATAAGATATAGATTCACGTTCTTGAAGTAATATGGAAAAGGGTGGAGGAGACTATTGTTACTTTGACAATTCAATACTGAGGAATATGAGGTTATTGCAAATTTAGGCACTTAAGCTAGATGGGATTCTGAGGTGCATGTACCTACTTTGCTACCGTCTCCAGTTTCTGGTATAACCCAGCTGACAAGTCAGAAGTATGACATGACCAAAAAAACCTCAATTCATAGTTAAAGCACAAGTTCTTCATTGGCAAGCAAATGCCTCTTGTAGGTCGCTGGTCTAGAATTCTTGACAGAACCCAATTGCAAAGGCACAATTCATCAATCATCAAAAGTCAGTCATAATTTATAAGGATCTCCAAAGACAAATTTATAAGAGAAGACCTTCAAAATCCAATAATACTACATCCTAGCCACTAAAATCTCTGCCTCACATCATAACCTAAATAAAAGATGAAGAGAAAGGAAACGTAAGTCCCTAATATAGCTGCTACTGCAGCATGAACAGCATTGCATCATAGTACTGCCACAGTACTACAAACATAACCGCTACAGTAGCATGACAAGAATTGCTGCATGGGTTTCTAAGTTGCTTCTCCTGCTCACTTAGGGTCTCTTTGATTTTCTTTCTTTTGTTGGTTTTCTGTTCATTGAGTCACAAAATGTCTTCCTACTTTTCCAGCTACCCCTCCCAAAACTAATGCACTTCTGATAGGTGGGATCACACAGATGCCCACCATCCACTTTTTTTTGCTGTGTTTTTTTTTGTTTTGGTTGGGGGGGGGGGTGTGGAAACATGGTGGCTATTAAAAGATAAGATATCACTATGATTATATCTCATGCAGCAATGGGAAATTGACATGTCATTACAAACAATATCCCTTTCAAGTCCTTTGGACTGGTTAAAAACATCCTAAAAAAGGTCAGAGCAAAGAACAAAATGATCATATTTTTCATTCATACCATTCAGCAGCTGCTTGCAACATTCTGTCTGAAATAAAATGAGCACCAGAGAGGAGAGCTCCCAAACCAATCCTGAATCAACATAATAATGATTCAAATAGTAGTTAAACAAAAATTAAGCATTTTCACAAAATAGTGATGTATAGCACGGACCCGGGAAACAGGTACAAGTTATTTGCTTGATTTACATGGCCTACTTTTCCATTCCCTGCCCACAGTAAGTATGTGATCAGTAAGGTCATCATAATCAGACAGCCAAACCCAAAAGACCTGAAATGTGTACAACGGTGTGACTCGCCGTGGCTCCCAGGGTTGAGGGAAGCAGTATGTTCAGCCCTTTTACGATAGTGTCGTGATATTTCAAACCAAATTAAGCATCATGAAGGGTAAAAGTACCAAGATCAACATTGTCAAAGGGGCTCCCACTTGCAAAAACTACATTTTCACCAGCATGCTTGAAAGCTTCTACAGCAGTGCATTCAGCTGTTTCATAAATTATGCAAAGACAGGGTTCAGTAGAGAAACTGTGGACGCATTAAACAAACTGTTGGAGATCAGAGAGTCTGCAGAGACAAACCATTCATCGTAGGATTTGACATAGCAAAAATAGCAGGTTTTGTGGAATCCGACTCTTTCATGGCCTTGAGCACCTGATTTGTGTGCAAAAAAATAATAGTCAATAATTAATTACATAAAAAATGCATGCACTAAATCAAAACATAAAGTCAACGTGATATTCACTACACAACAAATAGAGGACAACACAGCTTGTGTCACGCTTAGTGTCTTATTTTTAGCATAAACCAGTCTGAAGACTAGAATGAGGAGGGTTTTAGGCTGTTAGCAGGAAGCACAGCTAACATTTAATAAAAGAAAGAAAATATCAAGAAGAGACAAAGGGAACCTGAGGACACCTAGCCAATCAAATTAAAGTACACAAACAATAATCCCAGGAGCAATATACCCAGGTTGCAGGGGACTTGACCGACAACATGAGGTTGATGTTCTGAAAAAGGACATAACTGCCAACAATTTAACAAGGAGTATGCATCACATGACTCATGAATATAGCTATTAGAAGATAAAGCTTTCACTAATTCAACCCCAAGTAGTAGGGGTTAAGGCCTTTGTTGGATGAAATTCACAAAAATAGGGGATCACAATAAATGCTAAATGGAGTGGTAATGAACTTCTTAATTTTGTTCAATAATGCATAGATTCACATCATCACAAAATATAAAATGACATGGTCGATAAACAAAAACTACAGTACTACTGATATCTATAACCCAGTGCCAATGTCTACCAAGTAAAAACAACAATCTTGCAAAGCAGAAGAATTCCAACAGGAACCATTGTGCTTTCTGACAAATATAATACAAAGCTAATGCCCATTATGTCAAAGGAAATATCTCCTACTGCATAGTTGAGGCATCAACTGTAGTTTGTGTTGTCCAACTAACAATATTTATTAACTGACCAAATAGTGCAGAGAACAAGGCACTGTGAAGAAAGTAAAATGCCCACCTCCTCATTGAAGATGCCGCCAACTCCAGACAAACCAAGAAGCACATGAGGCTTAACCTTTTTAACCTGAACAACAATTTCTTTCCATTAATCCATTACAAACATCTGAATTAGTCCAGATAGCTCTGAATGGTGAAGATGGTACTCCTTCAACCATATGGTCCAAAAATCTTCATATTCAAGACAATACAACTCCAATAAGATTTACCACTTCAATGAGAGTAGCTCCCTCCCCAAGTCCCATTCCCTCGATCTCTCCTACGGCTTTAGCAAATGGTGCAGCTGCTGGATCAATATCCTTTCTCTCTTTTGTGATGAGACCCTGCATCAAATCCAATAATTCTCAGACAGAGTGACCCCATGTTGAACTACGAAAAATGTAACTGAAATTACAGCCTTTGAAACACTATAGTATGTGTCATGTAGAGGTATCATATTCGGGTCAAAAACCATAAGGCTATGGGTTCGAAGTTGAGGGCAGACACTTTGTTCATATAATGTCAAAGGTCAAGTTTGTATCCAATTCAGGCCTCCCAGCACCCTCAATTAAAAAAACTATGATACACACAGAGAAAGAAATCACAAGAATATACATCCTTTTTCCTTCTTTCCTGGTTCAAATTCAGTATCACAATTTTTTTCATTACATTCAGACATATAATCCTTTTTTTGGGTCCTGGGAGTATGCAAGACAATTGATCATTATCAATTCAAGAAGAAAAAGGATGCCTAGAATAAAATAGGCAGTACATAAAATTATTAGACTTCCTCTCTCGACAGGTNTCTTTCCTGGTTCAAATTCAGTATCACAATTTTTTTCATTACATTCAGACATATAATAGGCAGTACATAAAATTACTAGACTTCCTCTCTCGACAGGCATATGATTAATACCTGTTTTTCATCATAAAGGTTAATGAACCTCGTATTAAAGGTTAATGACCCTCTGGCATACTACATGAAACATATCATGGCTTTTCAGGATTTGACTAATACTTGTAAAGTGCAAGTGATATATGTGGAACCAAACATTTTTATCAAGTAGGAAAAACTGAGGTTTTGCTGCTGGTTCTGCCATTCTTGAAACAGCCTGCAAGGCCATGTTAAGGACACCAAGCCCTGCACTGAAAACCAAATAAAAGAATAAGAAAATGCCAGCCTAGACTGCCAACAAGCACCAATGTAGCTAACCCACAATTCACATAAGAGAAGACAACATTTTATTATAATTGAATGTTGTCACTACCTCCCAGCTCCAACCACTACTATTTTTTGGTTTGCGAAGTCGGTCAGGGGCCGACCTTGTGCTCTTACAGTTCCAAGTAGCCCTGCCAGTGCGACACCAGCAGTTCCCTACAACACATGAAATAAGTGAAATTGTAATAAAGGAGGCATGCACAACAGCCCCACAGAACTTCCTATAAACAATATTGTTCACTGTTTCCATACGAAACAACAAATTACTCACCTGTATATCATCATTGAACATGCAAAACCTTTTTCTGTATCGTTGCAGTGTTTCGAAAGCCCACTTCATTTGAAAATCTTCAAACTGATAAGATCAGCCGAATCAAGTTATCAATAAGACGTCTACTATACATAATAAAGAAGTCGTTATTTTGAAAGAATTGGACCTGCACAATAGCTTTTGGCCACCGTGCATGAACAGCTTCCATGAATTCATCAACGATTGATAGGTATTCTTCTCCTTCCAGCCTATGTTGTCGTAGTCCTAAATCTGTCAAACTAAAATCATGAGAAAAGGAAATTCTTGTAAATTCCACTGCAAAGAAAGGTTTACAAGCTTTTGGCGTAGTCCACTTCCAGTACTTATAGATCAGATCATAAATCGGATATCAAGGATATTCTTCAAAGGTGCTATAATGTTTCAAACTTATTTTATTCAATCTAAAATGTCACAGATTTTAACCGGATATTTCTGTCTTGCTTATGTCAAAAGTTAGAACTACTCAACCTGGAAGGTGGCTCAGAAAGCCTATCTCTAGAATTAAATATTTGACAAGGAACCCCTTAAATCAAAAAACTTGAAAGCGAATGTTGTTGTAAAAGACTTCTCACTGTATTAGCTCTTATTAGAATGCAAAAATGAATGATTTGGAGCCTTGGTTAGCCACTTGTGGTCTTTCTATACAATTAGCTGAATCATGCAGTTGTCTATGTGGTTTCGCTTGTGCTAACAATGGAATTGTTTCTATTTCCCAGGTTTCGGGATATTCATGGTATCTAGTCTAAATGTAACAAAAAAATCATATCTAGAAACAAATCAATGTGTCAGTTTGCATCCAATAAACTTGTTTTTATCCACATTTCATTGTTTTTTTCTTCTCCAAGTCAGAATTGACTCTAATTATCAAGTCTTATTGTCCTCAACAGCACTTTGTCTATCTGCAGCCACACTCTAAAACTAAATGAGGTCTTCAATTTATAGACTATTCAATGAATTCTGTGTAATTAAGTTGACAGAATTTGGTGCATATAAGAAGTTCTACATCAATTTTATGGATCATTTACTAAATGAGCTCTTCAACAGATATTCTTGCTGTTCTGCCACAGCATTTGCAAGTAGACGTGCTATCTATCCTTGTTCCTGGATTTATATCTGAGAGGTTTATAGCACGAGCTCTTCAAAAGAGATTCTTCTTGTACTCTCACAGTATTTTCTATAAGCCAGTGCTATCTATCATTGTTCCTTGATTTATATCGGAGAGGTTTATAGCAGTTTTTTTCCCCTACTGAGAATTGCTTGGAGAGTCATTGAACAACTCACCAGAATGGNTGTTCCTGGATTTATATCTGAGAGGTTTATAGCACGAGCTCTTCAAAAGAGATTCTTGTTGTACTCTCACAGTATTTCCTATAAGCCAGTGCTATCTATCATTGTTCCTTGATTTATATCGGAGAGGTTTATAGCAGTTTTTTTCCGCTACTGAGAATTGCTTGGAGAGTCATTGAACAACTCACCAGAATGGTTTTAAATTATGAAAAGTCAATGGTGTCAAATGCTTTGACTACATGCATCTATTTCCAAAACTTTGACTTTTAGCAAACCTTCCTTATACTTGGTGATATTGTCCAAGTACTGACACCATAACTAATCAACACCTGATACTTGCTAAAAGTGTAGGTTAACAACCACGAGATTGTGTGTTCAAATATGAGGACAATCACTAAGTGCAAATAACACAGGAGGCTAGTTAGGTACCCAGTACAGCCCTCCCAGCACTCTCGACTAAAGTGCGTAATACCCTCAAAATTCAAAAAAAGAGAGATAAACTATCAAGAGAAATTTATATGAAGCATGAAGCACTAAGAAGTTTATTCTAACACTAAGCTTAATGCATGTGTCATACATCACTAGCCAGATGAGGACACATTTACATGCATCATCGAAATATTGCAATAGTATAAAGTAGGCAATGATGATTTAATGGAGCACACATCTTGGTTGAAGCACGAGTGTGTATTTCTATTGAATTATCACAAAAAAATAGTGCTAGAAATTTGAAGAATTAGCAGCAAGAAAGAGGGCCGGCATCCAATATCAACGTATTGAAAACATCCATCTTGGATCTAATTGAGTAAATATACTTCCGAAAAGCCAAAATGTCATTATAGCCGAAGCAATAACATTGAATAACCAGGAACAGGTAGTTTTGATTATTAGTATCCACGTCAAGAAAGGGGAAAAATAACAGGATCGTGAAAATAAAGAAAAAAACACTAAGCAAATAAGAACTTAGCTTAGTGTACATATTTCCACTCACAAAGACGATCTTCAAGAAGCTTCTGATTGTTAGTGCCAACATCAAGCATAACTGGGAGTACCTGTCAGATAAGGACAAAGGGAATTAATATAAAACACAAGCAAACTAAAGAGGAAAAAAAGTAAACACTAAAATGTAATTAATCGCAAAATTGGACCTGTACAGGTATATTGAACTAGTTCCATATGTTCCAGTTCTGGTTTTAATGAATTATTGGCAGCAATTACATCATTTCTCACATATGCATGCCAGCTCACACACACATAGAAAAAGAGCCAAGTATAAATATATGGTTTACATGAGGAAGAATAGGTGATGATTCAACAAACCATACACCTTAATGCATGTTGAGCATGGTAATTATCATTCCTTCAGTTTGACACATCATGTCTATGCGTGTGCATGCGCACTTCAACATGTTTCACACTTACTGATACATGTACATCTATTATAAATAATGGCTTGTATGGAACAAACAAGAGCACATAGAAGAGAATCAAGAAGCACATACTCTCTGTGGGTTGATACCAGCAGCAGCAACGTACATATCCAGCTTTCCAATTGGTATACCAATTCCCTGGACTCCAAGATCACCTAGGCCAAGTATACGACTGCCATCTGTCACAACAATCATGTCAACCTGCAATGCAAAGACGAGAGCATTATTCGGTATAACTCCCAAGGGAGAGTGAAAATGGGAAGTAAAATGTGATGTACCCTGTCGGAGATTCACAAAATACCTGATGACCTGGCCAGTTATAGATCATAGACATCATCTCCCCCCTATCTTTTGCACTGAAATACATTCCACGTGGCCGTCTAAACAAACCTGAATAGTTTTGACATACCAATCCTACCGTTGGAGTGTATATTACAGGAGCAAAATCTTTAATGTTATCAATGAGAACCTGTTGAAAACGCAATAGAAGTGCTTAAGATATACTAATTTGGTACATGTTCTGAAATTTAGAAGAAGTATCCATCGACCGACTTACTCGGTAGTACAAAGTCTCATTCCTGTCATGCAGTCTATTCAAGATCCTCCATTTCGCCAAGGATACAACGCTATCTGGTTGGTCTCGAGTATTTTTTTCCAGGGATCGATATGACTCCACTAAAAATGGAAACAATCGAATCATAGCATTAAACTTGACAACCTTATGGCCCTTGTTCTTGTGATACAAAAGTTTATTAGATAGAAAGATAAATACATTTAAAGGGAGATTTACGTACTTCGAGGGCTAAGCATTGAATTCATAAGATATCAGAGGCCAAATTGAATGAAGGAAGAATCTTAAGTAGAATGCTAAGAAAATGCGTACACAAGATCGACTATTGAAGATAATATTCAAAATTATTTTTGCTAAACCTGGATCCAGAAATTCTTTACATTTTCTTTTTTTGAAAATTAGGTTACTGTAACTCTAGAGAATCATGTCAAAATACAACCAGATTAGTGCTCCATTGCATGAGAATTATATACTTGACTTAATGAAGATCACTTTGATGAACTGTGGGATTCGGTTGTGAGAGCAAATACCTCATAAATAGCCAGCACGCAGCCTGTCAAACACTCCTGTATGAACCACAGGATCCTAGAAACCTTTCCTAGTCTGTCTTTCAATTATTTTGATGTTAAAGTTTGACATTTGTTTTGATTGACAAACATTCATCCTACTACCAGCTTCCAAAACAATGGTACCCTCTAGGGCCTCTACTTCCTCCACTTAAAGATTGTCCATAACTGTCAGAAGTAAAATGCAATAGTGTTTCACTTTATTANCTTCCAAAACAATGGTACCCTCTAGGGCCTCTACTTCCTCCACTTAAAGATTGTCCACAACTGTCAGAAGTAAAATGCAATAGTGTTTCTCTTTATTCNCCTCCACTTAAAGATTGTCCATAACTGTCAGAAGTAAAATGCAATAGTGTTTCACTTTATTAAAGTAGTCACCATGATTCCATTACATGGCTAGTAATACGCAAACAGACTTTGTACTTCACCAAGCTGGAAAGCTACAGGATTGAAAGTCTGCGACCCAAAAGGGAAAGGCTAGGCAGGGGTGAAGGCACTATATGAAATATGCCTGGGACAAAAGCCTCTTCGTAGGCATCATTATTCTGCAATAAATGGTACAGCCACATTTTTTTCAAGTGCAGAATCTGACGAAAAAAGTTAGGGAAGAAGAGGAAGTAAAAGAGATGCCGCAAGCAACTCCATTTTGGCTCGTTCAAGTTATATTTAGCTATCCAAAAAAGAGAAATGCTATAAGGTGAATAATTATGTTGTTTTCCCTTAGATATGGTCTCCCCCACGATATCTCAAAATCATGTGTGTTTACTTGGGCCAAGTCTGCCTCAACATATAATAAGCTAATTGGAAGGACCAGTCTTCCTGCTATGTGCACAAATGAAAACTTGATTTATTCCCAAATTTGTAGTCCCATGTTTGGTGGTATCCTGCTAAAGCTAGAACACTACGTCTGTAGGACTCAAGAAAACAATTACCTAATGGGACTATTTCTAGCCGACATTAGTTTGTTGCCTATTTAGAAGACATTGCATAGACAATTTTTTGGGTAGTAGACATGACTCATAATCATAAATGCCTTCAACGACACCTATATTCATTAACTCAAACAAAATTCTTCTCTTGGATTTCTCTCTTAGATGGTGGAAGTAGCTTGCATCCTTTTAAGTGGACAAACGTCACAAACCGAAACCAAAATTTACCACTCCCAAAATAACTCTTCATATTAACACAGGTAAGCAATTTTTAGGTATGTCTCTATAACAATATGATTTCCAATATTTTGCACACTTGATTTTCTACACAAGGGATGGCGCATGGACACATGAGTTGCTGCATTTCAAATGGTCATTACATCGCTCATATGAATAAGGCAAACATGGCTGTAACTATAATACCCTCAACAAGTGGGTGGAGTGTGTGTGCGTGTGTTAGAAAGAGAGACAGAGGCATTGATTACTTGAATCAGTGTCCCCCTCAATTTACAGGAGTCTTTTTCTTCTCATCCTCCCCCTCCTCCATCACCACGCCACCCCACCCCCTTACATTGTGTAAATGACATCGTAACCACCAAAATTATTAGATATGATCTAATATCAAAGTGACTACAAACCCATCCAGCACCCATGGATACGGTTTTGGTACTTCTCCCTTCTATAGATTACCCAACTTATATATGTGTTCGACGGCATACATGCAAAAACTGCACATTAGCTATTTGACTCAAATTATTTTCTTTTCTTTTCACCTGTAACAGACATTAAAAAGATCCATAACAAGCTCACTCAAAATCAGTTTTTGCCAAAACTGGCAAAGAGTGCATGCAATATTAAGATTAGCACATGATTAAAAACTAAGCCCAGTGCACAACTATTTGCGTCAGTCTTCAATAAGATTTTATGAGATATGCAGAGTGCAGACATTAAAAACTCAAAGTACATCACCCAAATGGAAACCATAAAAAATATCAAACTCACTGAAACGGGCATATTGATGTTCAAATGATATCACACGAGGGGGAAGAAGACCCCGAAGCCCAAGTCGATCTCTTTCCGTCAAAGGGAAGCCTGTATCCTGCTCTTGAAAAAGTAACAAAATATGAAAACAGAAATGAAAGAAAAAAGGAAATTCATATATTCTAGTTATTCCTTAGATATTCATCTTTCGTATGTCGTTCATTAGATGTATTCTCATTGTACTAATACAGAAGGCAATAATAGTAAAAGAGCCATACAATGCAGAATTTCACTAAAATTGAACAAATAAGTAAAAGCTAGCCCAATTCTTGAAATTAGCATAATTTGATGCAACATAACTAAAATTTAGCAAGCTCAATTCTTGAAATCACTAGAATTTGGTGCAACATAATTAAAGATTTAGCAAGACTCACTCAGATCATATGTATACAAAATTAACAAGAAAAACAAAGTACAAATGTAAGTCAAAATGGATATCACACAGAAATCGACCTTGTTGAACCACGGATCATGAAGAATATCAGCACCACGCTTGTGCACAATACACGGACCAGGAATGGCCGTCGAGTACCGCCTACATCTCCGCAGATTAGACGCCGCAGATAGAGCTAGTCTCCACATACTTCACCCTAGGAAAAAAATTCAACACACCAAAACAATTCAAGATCGTTAAAGATCAAAGCACTGACTCCAAATTCAAGCTTTGAACTCAAAAAAAGAAAGAAAAAAACAAACCTAATTCAAGATTTGAACTAAGAAAACAAACTCAATTCAAGATTTGAAAAGATCAAAGCACTGACTTCAAATTCAATCCTATAAGACTTCGTCAAAGCGTCTCTGTCAACGCATTTGCGTTGTCAATGTAGACCTTCAAGACTGAAAACAACAGTCTACGATACAATTTATATACGATTTCACCCAGATTTGTATTTATAGTAATCTCAATGTCACTGTTTGACTGTCTTCGGGGTAGCCGGAGGAGTAGAAGACATGTAGAGCTGTTGAGAGAGACGACGAGACTTGACGCGGTGCTGCTGCCCGAGATTTAGGGGGCAGGAATAAGTGAGGGGCCGATGAGAGAGAATTGCATGAATTTTCGACCTTTCGAGACATAAATACCCCCCAATGCAATTGACTTTGAGTCAAAAGATTTTAATTTGGTAAATGGCTGTAACTTTGAGCACCTTCCTTATAAGATTTCTTGTTACCAATGGAAAATAAATAAATAAAATCAAAATTAGCATGAGATAAACCCTATGTTCGGACGTTTTTGGTTCGATTCTTATTAGTGTCTCTCTAGTTTAACTAATACTTATTATTAGTGGGTGATTTGCATATCCAATGAAATTTTGACTTGAATAAATATTTTTGTTGCGAAAAAATCTCGGGCTTGTGATATTAATCCGCCATAGATTTAAATCTAGTAAAATAGAGGATAAATTATTCTTTGATTTTTTAAACTATACTCATCTCAAATTGCTGCATCAATTATCGCATTTCTCATGTTACAACTTCGATTATAGTTGTTGATTTCAAATTACATCTAAACTATCATATTTATTATATTGCATCTCCAAGTATGGTGATTAATTTCACATTATCTTAATTATACGAAAATATTCAACCTATCGAGACATAAAATAATCCAAGTGCAATGAATTTGACTCAAAAATTACGAGATTTGAATTTGGTAACTTTGAACACCTACCTTATAGAGATTTTGTGTTACCAAAATAACATAAATTTAACCTAGCAAGCATTTGTATCGGAGTACATGACTTCATATAGAAAGATAAATAGAGAGTAAGTTTATCTCTCTAAAATAATAAGAGTCTATTAAAAATGAACTTTTAGAGTCTAGCTTTCTAAAATACTGATAATCTATTAGAAATAGATTTTAGAAGTTGATTTTCTAAAATATAAAATTGATTGAGAATAGAAAATCTATTAAAAATATTATAATAAATAAATCGCGTATGTCGCAAAATTTAATCTCAATTAAAAACCAGTATCATATCTAAATGAACCAAGACCTATAAATGAGTTCATGTTTAGAATCTTACAGCCTGTTTGGTACGGGTGAAAATGAGATGGACGGAAAATAGTGGATGGAAAATATATATTTTTTTTGTTTGGTTAAGAAGAAAATAAAGAAAGAAAGAAATAAGGAAAAATGCGGTGAAAAAAGAATCATTCCCGCCCACCAAATTGGATCACCTCCATGCATGGGAGGAAAATGACAAAAAGTGACTGCCAAATGTTTCGACAATAGGGTCCACAACCTTTATTAGTACCTATTGACAATTTAGTCCTTCGAGGCTATGTCTTGTAGTATAATATTCATAACTATTTAAGGGCATTTTATGGTATTTAATTATCTATTTAAAAAAATTTATCTTTTCCACCCTTTTCACAAAATATAAAGAATGAAAAAACACTTTATTTTCTATAAGGATGAAAAACAATTTTTTTTATTTTTTTATCCCTCCTATCAAACCCACCAATTAAACTTAGAGTTGTCAAAATTCAACACGACACGAATTAAGCAGGTTTGGGTGATAAACGGGTTGACACGTCAAATACGTTTAATAAACGAGTCATGTTCGAGTGAGACCTGTCAAACTGTTTTATCACACATTTATCGGTTTAAATAAAATTAATATAATAATAAATTGATAATTATTTTAAAAAATTAGCAAGAAAAAAAAAGTAAATAAATCAATAAAAAAAAAAAAGTAAAGTAGTGGTTCAAAAACAAAATAGAGGAGATGAGGAGCACTTAAAAAATAAAGATAAACCAATATCTTTTATTTTTGTCCCACATTGAAAAATTAGGAGAGATAGGANTGACTGTCTTCGGGGTAGCCGGAGGAGTAGAAGACATGTAGAGCTGTTGAGAGAGACGACGAGACTTGACGCGGTGCTGCTGCCCGAGATTTAGGGGGCAGGAATAAGTGAGGGGCCGATGAGAGAGAATTGCATGAATTTTCGACCTTTCGAGACATAAATACCCCCCAATGCAATTGACTTTGAGTCAAAAGATTTTAATTTGGTAAATGGCTGTAACTTTGAGCACCTTCCTTATAAGATTTCTTGTTACCAATGGAAAATAAATAAATAAAATCAAAATTAGCATGAGATANTAAATACCCCCCAATGCAATTGACTTTGAGTCAAAAGATTTTAATTTGGTAAATGGCAGTAACTTTGAGCACCTTCCTTATAAGATTTCTTGTTACCAATGGAAAATAAATAAATAAAATCAAAATTAGCATGAGATTAACCCTATGTTCGGACGTTTTTGGTTCGATTCTTATTAGTGTCTCTCTAGTTTAACTAATACTTATTATTAGTGGGTGATTTGCATATCCAATGAAATTTTGACTTGAATAAATATTTTTGTTGCTANGGTTCAAAAACAAAATAGAGGAGATGAGGAGCACTTAAAAAATAAAGATAAACCAATATCTTTTATTTTTGTCCCACATTGAAAAATTAGGAGAGATAGGAAGAGTTGAGTTGCCTATAAAAAATAATGACCCCTTGCTTTCTTTTTTAAACCTTCATGTCTTATTTTTGTGAGATTTGCCAAAAAATTCCTCTTTTTTAAGGTAAGTGTAATTGACAATAAAAAAAAAAGTGGAGTATTAAAATTAGTTAATATAATTTTTTTAAAATTAAACGGTTTAAATAAGTCGTGTCGTATTATCTGTTTATTAAACATGTCGTGTTTGTGTTGAAATTTTTTATCCGTATATTTAACCCGATACGTAACCGTTTTAATCCGATATATTTGACACCCCTAAATTTAAACTCAATGTATGGTGGATGAGCTGCCCGGACATTGCAAAAGGNATTCTTATTAGTGTCTCTCTAGTTTAACTAATACTTATTATTAGTGGGTGATTTGCATATCCAATGAAATTTTGACTTGAATAAATATTTTTGTTGCTAAAAAATCCCGGGCTTGTGATATTAATCCGCCATAGATTTAAATCTAGTAAAATAGAGGATAAATTATTCTTTGATTATTTAAACTATACTCATCTCAAATTGCTGCATCAATTATCGCATTTCTCATGTTGNTTAGTGGGTGATTTGCATATCCAATGAAATTTTGACTTGAATAAATATTTTTGTTGCGAAAAAATCTCGGGCTTGTGATATTAATCCGCCATAGATTTAAATCTAGTAAAATAGAGGATAAATTATTCTTTGATTTTTTAAACTATACTCATCTCAAATTGCTGCATCAATTATCGCATTTCTCATGTTGCAACTTCGATTATAGTTGTTGATTTCAAATTACATCTAAACTATCATATTTATTATATTGCATCTCCAAGTATGGTGATTAATTTCACATTATCTTAATTATACGAAAATATTCAACCTATCGAGACATAAAATAATCCAAGTGCAATGAATTTGACTCAAAAATTACGAGATTTGAATTTGGTAACTTTGAACACCTACCTTATAGAGATTTTGTGTTACCAAAATAACATAAATTTAACCTAGCAAGCATTTGTATCGGAGTACATGACTTCATATAGAAAGATAAATAGAGAGTAAGTTTATCTCTCTAAAATAATAAGAGTCTATTAAAAATGAATTTTTAGAGTCTAGCTTTCTAAAATACAGATAATCTATTAGAAATAGATTTTAGAAGTTGATTTTCTAAAATATAAAATTGATTGAGAATAGAAAATTNAGATAAATAGAGAGTAAGTTTATCTCTCTAAAATAATAAGAGTCTATTAAAAATGAACTTTTAGAGTCTAGCTTTCTAAAATACTGATAATCTATTAGAAATAGATTTTAGAAGTTGATTTTCTAAAATATAAAATTGATTGAGAATAGAAAATCTATTAAAAATATTATAATAAATAAATCGCGTATGTCGCAAAATTTAATCTCAATTAAAAACCAGTATCATATCTAAATGAACCAAGACCTATAAATGAGTTCATGTTTAGAATCTTACAGCCTGTTTGGTACGGGTGAAAATGAGATGGACGGAAAATAGTGGATGGAAAATATATATTTTTTTTGTTTGGTTAAGAAGAAAATAAAGAAAGAAATAAAGAAAAATGCGGTGAAAAAAGAATCATTCCCGCCCACCAAATTGGAGCACCTCCATGCATGGGAGGAAAATGACAAAAAGTGACTGCCAAATGTTTCGACAATAGGGTCCACAACCTTTATTAGTACCTATTGACAATTTAGTCCTTCGAGGCTATGTCTTGTAGTATAATATTGATAACTATTTAAGGACATTTTATGGTATTTAATTATCTATTTAAAAAAATTTATCTTTTCCACCCTTTTCACAAAATATAAAGAATGAAAAAACACTTTATTTTCTATTAGGATGAAAAACTATTTTTTTTTATTTTTTTATCCCTCCTATCAAACCCATCAATTAAACTTAGAGTTGTCAAAATTCAACACGACACGATTAATCGACACGAATTAAACAGGTTTGGGTGATAAACGGGTTGACACGTCAAATACGTTTAATAAACGAGTCATGTTCGGGTGAGACCTGTCAAACCGTTTTATCACACATTTATCGGTTTAAATAAAATTAATATAATAATAAATTAATAATTATTTTAAAAAATTAGCAAGAAAAAAAAAGTAAATAAATCAATAAAAAAAAATAAGTAAAGTAGTAGTTCAAAAACAAAATAGAGGAGATGAGGAGCACTTCAAAAATAAAGATAAACCAATATCTTTTATTTTTGTCCCACATTGAAAAATTAGGAGAGATAGGGAGAGTTGAGTTGCCTATAAAAAATAATGACCCCTTGCTTTCTTTTTTAAACCTTCATGTCTTATTTTTGTGAGATTTGCCAAAAAATTCCTCTTTTTTAAGGTAAGTGTAATTGACAATAAAAAAAAAAGTTGAGTATTAAAATTAGTTAATATAATTTTTTTAAAATTAAACGATTTAAATAAGTCGTAGCGTATTATCCGTTTATTAAACATGTCGTGTTTCTGTTAAAATTTTTTATCCGTTTATTTAACGTGTCGTACGAATTTATATATTTTTCACCCAGACACA